CCCCCCCCCCCCCCCCCCACACACACACACCATAAACACAACATCTTTAACATTTTAGCTATAGAATTTCCAGCTATAACAGTAAATTATGATTTATTAAAAAATTACATAACTTTTTCTGGCACAAACATGGTGCTAAGAGAAAAATGTTTCTCTTTTTGTGATGGAGCAAGTAAAAATAAGTGTAGGACACATTCACTGAAAAAAAATCCTTATTGTTGAGCCCTGCTTGTGATGCTCTTGTTTGCCTATTTTCTCTCAGTCATTTGGAGTGTGATGGAGCGAGGGCAGGTGGCTCTACTGAGAGTGAAGTTGTGCTGAAAACATGACCATCTGTTCACAGGAGTGATCGGAAATGTGACCTGCCAATCTGGCCTCCTGTTCTGCGCTGGCCATGTGACATGGAGGATTACACATCCTTTATACTTCTGGCCTGCACCTTTCACATGTTTGAACATTTCCTGAGTCAAAAGGTCACCGGAAAATGAGATTCTGCATAGATCCTGTGCTTTACAGTAGCCGTAACTCACAATCCCATTATAAAAAAGAAATGTTAAAAGGCCATTTTAGTGCACAGATTATTTCAGGGGGGGGGGGAAAGAAAAGAATGGACAAGTAGAACAAAATGATTAGAACTGAGTTTGTCTGGATATCAGAGCAGCTGTGATGTATTGATAAATTTAAAAAGATCTACATATATTTTCATATATCCATAACATTACACAATGATTTGTTTGACTCACTAAGCTGTCATCAAATATTTTATAAGTTTTAAGAACTTTAAAATGTATTTTTGTAATACAACTGTACCTAATTTTGTTGTTTATGTCTTAATGGGAATATGGGAAAGACTTTCTTGACTGTTGTCATTGTTCCTCTCACTGCACAAGCCAATCGTGAGCTGTCATCACAGATGATCTTAAGTTCAAAGTTATGATCATCAAAGATGATCTTAAGATCAAAGTTTTTCCAGTTGGGATGCAAGATGTGCAATTTTCAGATAGCTCAATTAAATGTTATATTTTAGTTGCATTAGTAAGTCAATAAAAGCACAAGTGGTTGTGTAAAATAGACACACAATATTATAATATTTATTTATTAACCGCAGGCCCCTGAATTGAATCAAAGTGTGATTGTAAACATCCAGTTTACACCATTTACCATGGCGCTTCCATGAGAAATGATTACTACAAAACGAGTTTTAATGAACTTTCATAGTTTTAGTACATAGTTCATACATTTACTCACCTGGCTTAAGTTGACATCATTTTTGCTGTCACGGGTAAACTGGCTGGTTAGCTGGTAAATCATGGTGTGACCCCTCCTTCTGGCTTTACTGAAATGAGAGTTCCCAGTGGTCCTTTTGTATGGCTTATTATCTGCACAAAATGAAAAAAACATTAACAGCCTTGACAGTTTACAAATGATACAAATTTTAAATGGTCTAGGTTTGTCTATGTAAGATTGCGTTTGTTTGTTTATGTAAGATCCATGTGTTTTAGCAGATGTTTTGTAGATGCTACTCCTAAAGCCTGCAAAGACTGTTGATTACACTATCCTTTTACACCATTTGGCATGTGATGTTGGCTCTCACACTAAAATGGTTTAGCTTCTATCTAAACGATTTCATCTTTTGTTCTGGAAGCTCATCTACCTGCTCAGTCACTTAAAAAGTAAGGTTTCCCCTAAGGGCTATATTTTAATCTTACTGAATTTTCATTCTATAGTGCATGTGTCCTCTAGGCTCCAAACATGCTGTTTCTTATCAAATGTTGAAAACCAAAGCTAAGTATTTTTTTAGGCTATGTATTTTGCCATATTTAAAAAGATTAGTAAGAATAATGTTTGTAGTGTTGACTGTACCATCAGTTCTGCTGCTGTGATGGCTCTTGTCTTTTGTTTCTGAGATGTCCTTGAATGAAAAGAGAAAAAGCACCATCTCCCCTTTCTCATTCTTAATGGGCACAATGTCCAACAGACACCAGAATGAACTTCCTGTGATAACACACCAAATAGAGTTGCAGAATTACACAGACATTAAAAAAAAGTTACTACATAAAAATATCAACTTATCAACCAATAAAACAGTTTCGCTATGGAAGAGCTACATTAGCAGTGGGCTGGTGATTTTGAAGCAATTAAACTTACAGCTTCACTATTAATTAAATTGACCAGATTTCTGAAATGGAAACTGGGGACATTTTCCTATGGCAAGCCGTTTCAGCTTAAAATATTCCAAGCATTACTCGTCGTAATTGCATTTTTACTAGTAACAATTCAATTAGAGAGCTCTACAATTAAATTCTTAGAAGTAACAATGCCAATTAGAGAGCTCTCTAAATCTATTTAACTAGTTATAAATACAATAAGAGAGCTCTTTAATTTAATTAGAGAGCTCTACAATTGCATTCTTACTAGTAATAACTGAATTAGAGAGCTCTCTAATTCAGTTCTTACTAGTGACAATTATGATTATAGAGCTCTACAATTCAATTATTACTAGTAACAATACCAATTAGAGAGCTCTCTAATTCAGTTCTTACCTGTAAAAATGCAATTACAGAGCTCTCTAATTAAATTCTTACTAGTAAGAAATCTAGTTACAGAGCTCTACAATTGTATTCTTACTAGTAAAAACTTGTATTTATTAGATGCAAAACAGATTTGCAACTACACCCATTTGCCTTTCCAAATCCCACCTGTGGTGATACAATTCAAAATAAAAGCCCCATAAGCATGAATTGATAGCATATTCATTGTGTCAGAATGACCATAAGAGTGAGATGACAGTTTGAAAATGTTTTGTTGTAATATTTAATCACTTAATTAATTCACACCTTTATATTATTATTAATATTAATATTAATATTTCTTTATTTCAGACCCTTAGGTCCATATCACAAAAATGAAAATAAAGAGTAGCCTATAGTCTTGAAAATACTTTACCAGACAAAATATCACCTAATTTTGGTGTTTATTATGCACTGTAACGTGCATGTAGTATTTGAGCTAGTACATATATAGGCTAATTAATAGGTTAATTGTCACTCAAATTTTCTTTCTTTCTTTCTCTCTCTTTTTTTGGTCAGACATTAGGGGGGGGGAAATTCAATTGGGACATTATTTTGGGGTATTTTTTTGATAAGCTTAATTAGGCAATATTTTGCTGAGTGTGCTGCTTTTTGTGCTGGAATCGTGGCTGGTTTTGGCCAGTAGGTGGCAGCACGACTTACTGAGTGATTAATTTAAAGGGGTCATATGACGTTGCTAAAAAGAACATTATTTTGTGTATTTGGTGTAATGCAATGTGTTTGTGCGGTTTAAGGTTAAAAAACACATTATTTTCCACATACTGTATATTAATGTTTCTCCTCTATGCCCGCCTTTCTGAAACGCGTCGCTTTTTACAAAGCTCATCGGTCTGAAAAGCGAGGTGTGCTCTGATTGGCCAGCTATCCAGCGCGTTGTGATTGGCCGAATACCTCAAGCGTGTGACGGAAATGCTACACCCCTTACCATACTGTGATGCAGTGTGTGCGATGAACGCCTGTGATGCGCGACGAGACAAAACCAGTAAAACCCATTACAAATTAGGCATTTGTTGCATCCAGTGGAGACATAATTACTGATTATAATGGCTTATACTGTCTTTTTACGCGTTGCGTTGCGTATCACACTGCGTAAACATAAAACCATGTCTGCATTTGTGATCGGAGAAACGACAAACAACAAGCACTACTCTACACTGCTCAAAACTCGCGTTTGAATGGTCAGTGGCAAATTCTTTAAATATAAAAACGTACTTACAGGCTGTGAGTCATGAAGCGCCAGATTGTCCTTGCAAAGTTGGAATTGCCCCACTTTATAGAAAAAGACACCGGCATTGTAGGCTATACTCTCCCAGGAAACAGTCCTTGTCCTCCATAAAATGCGCTGCACACATCTGAATATTTGGGTTGAACTGTTCCGGAACAGTGTTGTAAATACAACTTAACCACTGATTTCTAGTTGTGTCCTCTTTTGGAAGGCCAAACAAATAAGTTTCGCTTTCATAACGAAACACACAGCATCTCCACAACATGGCGGCGGCGGCAACAAGAGAAAGGAAAAATTGAAATCGCATCATATGACCCCTTTAAAAACACAGATTCATGCAAGTATGAAACATGTCTCTCGGAGACGCACAACAGTTCTTTTCCCGCTTTGTTTGGAACTATTTGTGTTGGTGAAACAAAAACAGACAATAGTGTGTCCAAAATGTAACTCACTTGAATTAATTAGAGCCCGACCGATATGGGTTTTTTGGGGCCGATACCGATGCTGATATTTGGGAGTAAAAAAAGGTTGATATTCATATATCGGCCAATATTCTTTGTGTATATTATAGTACAGTACCAGTCAAAAGTTTGGACACTTTCCCATTCGTGTGTCCAAACATTTGACTGGTACTATATATAGAATACAGTATATAGTGTCGTGTCCTCTAGGCTCCAAACATGCTGTTTCTTATCAAATGTTGAAAACCAAAGCTAAGTATTTTTTTAGGCTATGTATTTTGCCATATTTAAAAAGATTAAGACGTGTCGGCGATTCCCTCAGAACGCGTCTTTGATAATTCACTCTGCGTGATTGTCACTCGCGTGAACGAGCACCGATTTGCCTCCGATTGCGGGCATTTGTTGTCGATTTCGCAAAACCTGTCGGCGAGTGAAAAGTCGTGCTAAAATCGTGCAGTGTGAACTCGGCATTACTAGTAAAAATTAATTAGAGAGCTCTATAATTCAATTCTTACTAGTAAGGATTACAATTAGAGAGCTCTCTAATTCAATTGTTACTAGTAAGAATTCCAATTACAGAACTCTCTAATTCAATTTTAACTAGTAAGAATTCCAATTAGAGAGCTCTCTAATTCAGTTGTTACTAGTAATAACTAAATTAGAGAGCTCTCTAATTCAATTACAGAGCTCTGCAATTAAGCATATCTTTAATTTGTTTTTCACTTGTAAGAATTAAATTAGAGAGCTCTCTAATTGGAATTCTTACTAGTAAAAACTAAATTAGAGAGCTCTCTAATTTGAATTGTTACTAGTAAGAATTCAATTGTAAAGCTCTCCAATTGTAATACTTACTAGTACATTTTCAATTGTAGAGCTCTGTAATTAAAAATGAATGGAAGTCAATGGAAACATATGACTAGTAAAAATTCATTTGTAGAGCTCTCTAATTGTTACTAGTAAGAATTGAATTAGAGAGCTCTCTAATTGGAATTCTTAGTAGTAATAATTGAATTAGAGAGCTCTCTAACTGGCATTGTTACTAGTAAGAATTTAATTGTAGAGCTCTCTAACTGAATTGTTACTAGTAAAAATGCAATTACGACGAATAACACTGGGATTATTTTAATATAAAACGGCTTGCCATATTTTCCTACAGTTGATGTTATCTAGAATTTTTTAATTGTTGCGGGTTCCATATCAATTATATTAAGTAAACAATTAAATAATTATAGTTTTATGTAGACTAATTACAACTTTTTAAACTTATTTAAAGCTGCAGTCCGTAACTTTTTTTGGTTAAAAATGATCCGAAATCAATATTTGAGCAAGAACATAACCAGCCAGTGTTCAAAACTATCGCCTTACTTTAGCCCGATTCACAAAGGTTAGTTTATAATAATGTTTTCTAATTTGAGTGGCATGGGTTTTCGCGGGAAATTCGAGCATGGCACTGCATCATTACGTCACTTCTGTAAACATAAAGAAGTTGTCCCGGCTAGTAGGCTATCGCATGTGAGGATCCTGCAGGTGGCCGATCGTTTATAGCCTTTTCTCACAGCAGCCAGAATAATTAAATGTATCATTTTGATGGCTCATTGTAATCCAGAAAGGATTATGTGTTTATGAAACACATGTGAATGAAATTAAATTATATTCCAGTTATAAATGTGCTTCTAATTACAGACAGCCTGGGATTACAAAGATTTCTTTTTTAAAGAAAACCAGTTCGTAGGGAGCATAATTTGCTTTTTGGGTTAAAATAATTTCTTAATATGAAATTCGAAGAGCATGACAATTAGATTAGACTGTGCAGAAATTGAAATCTACAGGCTAATACACACTACTCATAGTGTTGCGGGAGAGAGGAAAAAGGAGTTGCCGCTTTAAGACAGCTATGTACGGGAGTTGTAGACCAGAGTGAGATGCATTGTGTAATGTAGTTCAGTGTGAAATGTGCTGGAGCTACGTGCCCTCACTGTGTGCTGTGCAGTTGAGAACGGAGGGAGAAAGTTTGTACTTACAAGTTAAGCTGTTTTGCACTGTGAACCTGACAACATGAGAACGAGTAAAAGAAATGGCATGCATCGGTAATTTTGTCCGTCTCTTCCCTTGCACGAACATGAATTGACGAGCTGTTACGCTGCCGCCGAAAATCGCTGAAGCAGAGAAAGTAACACTGGGGGCTCGAGCCCAGGATTCGTTCGTCGCAGGTGGTGAGACATACAGACATTTTAAACTGTTAAACCGAACCAGACGTTGTAAGAGAAAAGGTGGAAATGGCGGATACTCGGGAGAGAACGCGAGTGGTGAGAAAACATTCTCATTTAAATACGAGCAGCCTGTGGAATCCTGCGATGTCGGAAAGGACAGAGAATGATGAAAAATTAACACATATATAATTTGTTGACTGGCTAAACGAAATGTCAAAGCGTCAAAGACTGATAATAACAACAATCCATTTAAATGCAGTTCTGCCCCGTGTCCAGCATCCGTTTCAGTAAACAAGCCCACATCTTGCTATGAGCCACACGTAACACAGCAAACAGCGAGAGCAACCAATCCATTTATTAGTGGGGTGGAAAATGACCATATACATGATAGTGGAATCGATACACAGTGCTACACACAGAGTACTCCGGCAAATTTGAACTACTCACACTCCATATGCACAGATTTAACAGCCAAACGGATGCTTCAAGGCATGCCCACAATAAATCA